TCCCTCTTCATCCTTCTTCCTTATAAAATATGATTTAGGCCGGGCACGGTGGCTCAAGCCTGTAATCCCAGCTCTTTGGGAGGCTGAGGCGGGTGGATCACGAGGTCAGGAGATCGAGACCATCCTGGTCAACACGGTGAAACCCCGTCTCTACCAAAAATACAAAAAATTAGCTGGGCATGGTGGCACGTGCCTGTAATCCCAGCTACTCAGGAGGCTGAGGCAGGAGAATTGCCTGAACCCAGGAGGCAGAGGTTGCGGTGAGCCGAGATCGCGCCATTGCACGCCATCCTGGGTAACAATTGCGAAATTTTGTCTCAAAAAAATATATATATATATATGATTTAGGCTCCAGCAACACCGGTGGTATAAAATATTTTAATTCAAACTCTAATATTTCTGAAAGGCAAAAGAAATATCTGTCCAAAAAACAGAACCATATAAAATACTCCAAGTCATCATTACTTTTAATCAGAGAACATAATCTTTTTTTTTCTTTTTTTGAGACGGAGTTTCACTCTTGTTACCCAGGCTGGAGTGCAATGGCGTGATCTCGGCTCACCACAACCTCTGCCTCCTGGGTTCAGGCAATTCTCCTGCCTCAGCCTCTTGAGTAGCTGGGATTACAGGCACGCACCACCATACCCAGCTAATTTTTTGTATTTTTGATAGAGACGGGGTTTCACTTTGTTGACCAGGATGGTCTCGATCTCTTGACCTCGTGATCCACCTGCCTCAGCCTCCCAAAGTGCTAGGATTACAGGCTTGAGCCACCGCACCCGGCAGAGAACGTAATCTATTATGCAATAGTTAAAAAGATCTGATGTGCTACAACTACACTATGCCCTAATCCTTTACCTGAGATATTTCAAGAATATACAAATTACTGTTTTAAACATGGGTCTCTTTTTTTTTTTTTTCTGAGATGGAGTTTCGCTCTTGTTACCCAGGCTGGAGTGCAATGGCGCAATTTTGGCTCACTGCAACCTCCGGCTCCTGGGTTCAGGCAATTCTCCTGCCTCAGCCTCTTGTTTTTTTTTGGGGGTTTTTTTTGGTTTTTTTTTGTTTTTTTTTTTTTAAGATGGAGTTTCACCATGATGGCCAGGCTGGTCTTGAACTCCTGACCTCAGGTGATCCACCCACCTCGGCCTCCCAAAATGCTAGGATTACAGGCATGAGCCACCACGCCCGGCAAACCTGGGCCTCAAAGAATCTTGATGATCATACAGAACATGAACAAATATGTATAAAAATTAATCAAATTAAGAAACATTTAAACTACCCCCAAATTGTCTGTATTAAGTGTTAAAATCCAAGACATGTCCTCCATAGGCTTATATTAAAATAAATGACAGTTCTAATATTGTTCAATGAAGGAAGCAAACATAATGTGAACATTTTGCTGTCAGTGATGCACTAAGGTTTATTATCCTTAATTAATAAAGAGTGGGGCCTGGCGTGGTGGCTCCTGCCTGTAATCTCAGCACTTTGGTAGGCCAAGGTGGGTGGATTAACTGAGGTCAGGAGTTTGATACCAGCATGGCCAACATGCTGAAACCCCATCTCTACTGAAAATACAAAAATTAGCCAAGTGTTGTGGCTCAAATCCCAGCAACTTGGGAGACTGAGGAACAAGAATCACTTGAACCTAGGAGATGGAGGTTGCAGTGAGCCAAGATTGTGCCACTGCACTCCAGCTTGGGTGATAGAGTGAGAATCTATAAAAACTAAACTAAAATAAAAATCAGTAAAGAGTGAATGCAAACCAACAGGAAACAGGTAAACACCTGAACAGAAACGTGAGCACAGGTTATGTTCATCAGGTCACATAGAAAGATAATGTTTTAAAAGAAAAACAAGTATTTGTATATCAAAAATACTAAAGATGCAATTTAAAATTTCACCTATCAAAATGAGCATGTTTTGTAGATTTTTAAATTGTCATCTAATTATTTTCTTTTTTGGATTTAATTTTTTTTTTTTTTTGAAATGGAGTTTTGCTCTTGTTGCCCAGATTGGAGGCCAATGGTGTGATCTTGGCTCACTGCAACCTCTGCCTCCCAGGTTCAAGTGATTCTCCTGCCTCAGCCTCCTGAGTATCTGGGATTACAGGCACGTGTGACCATGTCCAACAAATTTTTAAAATATTTTTAGTAGGAGTGGGGTTTCACCATGTTGGCCAGGTTGGTCACAAACTCCTGCCTCAGGTGATCCACACACCTCCGCCTCCCAAAGTGCTGATATTACAGGCGTGAACCACTGTGCCTGGCCATTTTTTTTTTTTTTTTTTTTTTGAGATAAAGTCTTGCTCCATCACCTAGTGTATAATAGAGTGGTATAATCATGGCTCACTGCAGCTTCAAACTTCTGAGGTAAAACAGTCCTCTCACCTCAGCCTCCAGAGTAGCTGGGACTATATAAAGGTATACACCAGCATGCCTAGCTAATACACATATATATATTTTTTTATTTTTATAGAGATGGGGGTCTTCCTGTGCTG